TTCTTTCTTTCTAGCCAAGCTATAACTCCATCGCTAACTATCTTTCATCAGCTTTCGTGTACTCATACGCCGCTACCCATTAATTGATGCCTTGTCTTTTCTAGCCATGACGAGAGTCAAGTTCAACCGTACAAGGGGTTATACGTCATACTTGTCCTAAGGTTTTTACCGATAATAATATCGAGACAAGAGGCAATATATACTTAAAAAGAAACAAGAGTGTAGATAATACTAATGCATAGGAGTAGTTTGTGATGGCCACCTATTTTGTTGCTGCTCGTACCAACAATAATGTAATGCTATGTTGTATTGATTCTTTTCATGCATGTAGTCGTGATTATAAGTACTTTGTTTATCTTTTGTGAGCTAGAACGACCTAGAGGGTCACGTAACAGGTCCGTTCTACCATCTTACGGATCAATGCAATGGAATAAATAAAAGACAAAAACCATACAACCATACAAACTCTCTCTATTTTTTCTTTTCTTTCTAGCCAAGTATAACTCCATTACTAACTATATTTCATCAGCTTTCATGTACTCATGTGACGCTGCCCATTAAATCAATGCCTTGTCTTTTCTAGCCATGATGAGAGCGAGAGGTGCAACATCATGCTTGTCCTAATGTTTTCACTGATATAATAATATCGAGACAAGATGCAATTCTTAAAAAGGAAACAAGAGTTATTGGTAATACTAATGTATAGGAGTAGTTTGTGATGGCTATGCATTTTGTTGCTGCTCGTACCAACAATAATGCAATGTCATGTTGTGTTGATTCTTTTCATGCATGTAGTTGCGAGCATAGCTACTTTGTTCATCTTTTGTGAGCTAGAACAACCTAGAGGGGCATGATTAATGGATCGATGCAATGGCATAAATGAAAGACAACCATACAACCATGCGAACTCTCTCTAATTTTTCTTTTCTTTTTAGCCAAGCTATAACTCCATTGCTAACTATATTTCGTCAACTTTTGTGTACTCATGTGCCGCTACCCATTAAATATATGCCTTTTTCCAGCTATGACGAGAGTCAAGTGCAGCTGTACAACGCGTTATACGTACATCATACTTGTCCTAAGGTTTTTACTAATAGTAATATCGAGACAAGAGGCAATCCATATGAAATCAGGGCCTTATCTTTTGTAGCCACGACAAGGATCAAGTGCAACCGTTCACGACGTTATACGTCACACTTGTCTTAAGGTTTATTAATAGTAATACCGGGACGAGAGGCAGTTCTTAAAAAGAGAAATAGGTGGTACTAATACATAGATGTAGTTTGTGATGGTTGTTTCACTACTGCTCGTATCAACAATGCAACGCTATGTTGTGTTGATTTGTTTCATGCATGTAAGCACGATTAGAGCTACTTTGCTTATCTTTTGTGAGCTAGAGTGGCCTAGAGAGGGCACGTAATGTCCTTTTCGTCTATCTACAACTACAATAATAGCTAAGATCATCCTTTTTAGATGATGTTTATCTTAGCTTTGTAGATCATGGAACATGCCTTATACGCTATTATGATGTGAAAGCTGAAATAAATAGCTCCCAATCTATATCCATCCACATGTCAAAGCATTATAATTCGGCAATTTGCTTCTCTTTGCTTGTAGACTCTTTAACATTCATGAATTTGCAATTCAAGATTTTTTTATTTGAAGCTAAAATAAATAGGATTTTAGCTAACTGAATGGTTGGATGCTATAGATAGACATCGACCAGCATGACATGTTTAGGTAAAGCTATGCCATATATTTTAGCCAAATAAATGATATCCATATATACTTACCGAGACAATAATACCAAACACATTTATTGCTATTTTTAATATACCGCATTTATTATTTTATATTTTTATATAGTCGGAACCATGTAGCACACTCTTCTCGTTCTCGAATTATCTAGGATATGTGCATAGGCATGAGATCCATTGATACAAAGGAGGAGAAAGAAGAAAATGAGGAGAATGAAGATACACTCATACAAATGTCCTATGTCCTCTAATAAAAGTACTTCAATTGCCACGACATCAGTCTTACTGTTGAGTTAGTGTCAAATTCAGATATATAAACCTCACAATCATCACACGACTTGCCCCTAATGCAACTGCGCCCTCATGGTATTGCCCAACACATGCCACACATGTATGTGTAGCTACTCTCATTGTCACTAATAATACGCTAATATGTGTTGTCTTTGTTACATCACCTCCACGGCATAGAGACATCATGGGTAGCCCTACTCTAGCCTCGCCGGTTTAAAAGTTGCCCAACAACCTCACATCTCAAGTCATCGGAGACGTACACCTACCACTCCTCGGCTAAACCGCGCTCTCTCTCTCTGCCTAATCAATTTGACCGTAACAACGTCGTCCAAGCCAACCGCATCCGAAACCAAAGCGGCTCGTTGCCCGTTCAACGAAGGCGGAGCGCTCTACTAGCAACTCCGGAATACGCGGGAACTCGGGGGTGCCCACCGCAAAAGCGGCATCATCGCGTCGTTGATTCGCGTGCCGAGTCCCAAGGCTGGGCGTTAACCTCGCGTGCGTCGTGCAGCAGCCGGCCAGCACCCCAGCGGGAGGAGAGGAGAGGAGAGGAGGAGTCCACGCGAGTGAGGAGAGGAGAGGGAGCAGACGAGGGAGGAGAGGAGAGAGATCTCTCCCCCCCACCCACCCCCGACCCTTCCTGCTCCTCCTCTCGGCCTCTCCGGCGGGCGGGCAATTCGGCCATGGATCCCCCACGCGGAGGTCAGCGCTCCTCGTCCCCTCCCTCCACGGTTCTCCCTTTCCCAGTACTTCTCCGCGCCGCGGTCGCCGCGCGGCTCGATCCGCGCGGCTGGTGGTTCGCTGCGCGGGTGGGGCCGATTGCGCGATGCGGAGCGGGATTCTCCGTCCGCGTCCCCGCGTCGAGGTTCCATGCCGCTCTCTCTCGCGCGCGCGGTTGGCGGCGGCGGGCCGTCTGCCCGTCCATCGTCCCTCGCGCGCCGCACGAGGCGCTCGTCCCCGCGAATCCGAGATTTACCGTGCATGCGCGGCGCCTGGCGGTTCCCGCGAGTTCAAATTGCTGGTCGGCTTAGTCTGGTCGCCGACGAATGGGGGGTCGGGCTCGGCGCCGCATGCGCGCGCGGGGATGCCGCCGGCGCCGGCTCCGGTAACGTTAGATTCGCGTGCATGCGGCGGTGGCTACTCGCATTGCGGCCGTTTCGCCCGTGTGGAGTGCGGCAGGGGGCGGCCGGGGGATTCGGTGCCTTTACGTCGTTGTCCGGGGATGTACGTGTCCACGGCTGCCGCCTCATTTGTTGGTACCCGGTGGTGGTATCAAAGTATCTCTTTTGGGACGGGCGAAAGGCCTGGGTCGGTGGCTACCGCCTCAGCTGCTGGGGGGACTACTGTTGCGGCTTCGTGGATTTGAGATGCCCGTTGTGTGATTCCAATCGCGTTGACCTGGCCTTGTGGGATGTTTATGCGGATGCGTTGTTTTGTTTGCCTTGGTGGTGTGCTGGCTTTAGGTTGATGGATGTGGTAGTGTGTTGATTTTGTTTGTTTTTATACAGATTTACAGAGGGTTTAAGTTTCTTAGCAGAAGCAGAGTGTGTTTCTTGCCTTCCATTGATGCTGTCTATAGGTAGAGGCTACGCAAGCAGAAGGTTCCTATTACTAGCGAATAATATATGCTAGGAGCTACTGCTGCAGTTTGTGGATTTGGATGCCCATTGGGTGATCCCGATCACGTTGACCTGGTCATGTCGGATTTTTGTTCGGATGCGCCGCTTTGTTTGCCTGGTGGTGTGTCCGCTTTAGGTTGATGGAGGAAGCTGTGTGTTGATTTCATTTGTTATACAGGTTTACAGAGTTTCTTAGCAGAGTGTGTTTTTTGCCTTCCATTGATGCCGTCTATAGGTTGACACTACGCAGGTAGAAGGTTCCTAATACTACTAGTAGCTAATAATATATGCTGGGGTTACTGTTACAGTTTGTGCATTTGGATGCCCATTGGGTGATCCTGATCGCGTTGGCGTGGTCGTGTAGGATTTTTATTCGCATGTGCTTCTTTTTTTGCCTTGTTGGTGTGGCCGCTTTAGGTTGACGGAGGAAGCCGTGTGTTGTTTCTATCTGTTATGCAGGTTTACACAGGGTTTAAGTTCTTTGCAGAGTGTATTTCTTGCCTTCCATTTTTGCGGTTTATAGATAGAGGCTATCTAAGTAGAAGGTCCCTAATACTAGCTAATAATGTATGCTGGGGGCTAATGTTGCAGTTCGTGAATTTCGATGCCCATTCGGTGATTCTGACTGTGTTGACCTGGCTGTGTGGGTTTTATTCACACACTGCTTTGTTTGCCTTGTTGTGTCCGCTTTAGGTTGGAGGCAGCCGTGTGTTGATTTTTATTTGTTATACAGATTTACAGAGGGTTTAAGTTTCTTAGCAGAGTGTATTTCTTGCCTTTTCCATTGTTGCTGTCTATAGGTAGAGGCTGCACAAGTAGAATGTTCCTGACACTAGTAGCTAATATTATATGCGGAACACATTCATAGCTCCATAAAACATGCCTCGAATGTGGTGCCAGAATCTGAGTTATGTAGAAGTGCCATGCAAGTCTATTATAAATGGTCAGTTACGAAAGCCCTATATATACTGGGAAATTGCACTAGAGTTATTATATTTTGTACCAAGTGCTCGATTACTTTTCTATTTATGGAATATATTTGCATGCTTTCCTTTTTTATGGATCCAACATTACTTTTTTCTGTAAAACATAATAGTAGTGCGGGAGGGATCTACAAATATGATGTAGTATTAAATTGAGGGGGAAAGGAAAAATGCCACCAGGCCAGGTAACCCATAGAAGCCCAACAGCCCCCTCAAGCCTAACTGCCTAGGGTAAAGAGGGCAAAAAAGGAGGGAGGTGGCCGCCGCCACCGGTGCGCAGGCTGGAGGCGACAACCCCTTTGTGCTGGAGTCTGGATCGGAGGCAGTGGCCCCTGCTACTGCAGTGCGAAATGGAGGCGGTGTACCCTGCTGCTGCCTTGACCAGAGGTGGCCGCTGCGGCTAGTGCTGCTGGATTGGAGGATGACTCCTCCTGGGCGGTATCCTTCAGATCTCCCACTCTCTCTGTCTCGTGCTCTATTTCTCCCATGCTCTGTCTGTCTTTGTCTCCCGCCGGAATCTCCTGCTGTTTTCCCCTTTCCTCTACTGCTTTTATCCGCCGATGACACCTCATATGGTGCCTGCTACAAGTTATTTCCCGTGACTTGGATGCCAAAGCGATGATTTTGGGACGCCACGCCCATATGGCGGACGATGTACATATGTTAGTCAAGTTGTCAGGCATGGTGTTACCCCTTAGACTGCTCCGACACTTAAGTTAGCCTTAGTAACAATGATTTTTGCTAAGATATTTGATATTTTATAAAAAACATTGCAGCCTAAAACCAACATACTCATGCATGGTATACATATATAACACTTGTAAATGTGCATTGGCAAACAAAAGAAGCTTGATTACACATGATTCTGTTCCAACACTATTTCTTGTTTGTTTATCTGTTTCTAGGATTATGTTGGAATGACTACCCTACACTCTTTGCAACCAGTATTCCTTGGATGCTTTATGGGATCTAATAAATTTAAAGTTTCTATTCTGGGCTTCAACTTTGATGATTTGTTATTATGAATTATGACTACAAAGTTCCTTTCAAACATGTTTCTGCTATATTTTTAAGCATATTGGTGATGTATCTAAGATTATAATGCTGCAAAAAACTTGAATTCTATTTTGTATATATTGAATGGATTGTAATATGTTGTGTTATTTATTACTCCAGGAACAGTGATTGATCCTTCTAAATGTCGATTGATGAGTGTGGATGAAAAGCGAGAACTCGTTCGTGATTTATCAAAGAGCCCAGAAAGTGCTCCTGACAGGCTCCAGTCGTGGACCCGTCGGGAGATTGTAGAGATTCTTTGTTCTGATCTTGGAAGGGAGAGGAAATATACTGGTTTATCCAAACAGAGAATGCTAGATTATCTCTTCAGGGTGGTGTCTGGAAAATCATCTGGTCCTGTGGAACATGTACAAGAGAAAGAGAAAGGGAAAGAGAAAGAGAAAGAGAAAGAGAAAGAGTCAATTCCTGAGCCCAATACAACTAACCATCAGTCCCCTGCCAAACGACCGAGAAAGAGTGACAATCCATCACGATTACCGATTATCACAAACAACTCTGCAGCATCTGATGTAACTGGGCCACCTAATAATCCACGCTTCTGCCAAAATGTAGCTTGCAGGGCTATTCTCAGGGACAAATTTTGCAGACGCTGTTCATGCTGCATTTGTTTCAATTACGATGATAACAAGGACCCAAGCCTCTGGTTGTCGTGTAGTTCAGACCAACACTTACAAAAGGATACCTGTGGTTTTTCTTGTCATCTTGAATGTGCTCTAAAGGATGAAAGAACTGGTATTCTGCAGAGTGGACAATGCAAGAAACTTGATGGTGGCTATTATTGCACTCGCTGTTGGAAACAGAATGATTTGCTTGGGTACTGTTCTGTAGCATCTTTTTGTTATACAGTTTTTATGCAATTTGATTCTTTTTTTTTTTTGTTCCTGTGCTTCCAATCTTATTGCCTCCCTATCTTAGTCTGAGCTTCCAGTATATCTTGCACTGATAGAACAATTGAAAAATATTAGTTTGACAGTCGTGAGGTTTAGCTTTGATATTTTTCATCATAATTTATCTTCCTACTACACTTTTATGTACCTTACCTGGTGAAAAAGTTCAAATCTTATTTTATATCACTTTCTTTTAGCTTTGCTGTTCTGTTCTTAGGGATTGATCCTTGTACTGTCATCATTTAATCAAGGGAAAGAATGCTCACAGGCAGAGAAGCAAGTTTTAGATATTTCAACTTTTTTTAGATTTACAATCAACCTGTCATGCTTTAACTTTATGCAATGAGCTATTGCTGTGGATACTCTATTCTACCTGGTTGAATGATCGATTCATCCAGTTTCCCTCTGGAGTAAGGTTTGTTCAGGACAGGCAGTTTTTTTGCTGCGAGTATTTTAGGTAGCAGACTATAAAACAGGTCCTCAACCCTATTTAATTTTCTAGTTTTTATATCTTCTTGAGGGATCTTGCTGCTCTAGTTTCAAGGTATGGAATGGATGAGTTCAAAGTTTGATAAAAATTGAGCATTTGAGTTGATAAGGTAGGATGTACATGTAAATATGAACATAGCATGGAGAATTGAATGTTAGAACAATTATCTGTTAGGTTAGTCAGTTCATTTGAATTACCTCACAAGAGGAAAAACCGAAAAATGAAGAAGCTTAGTTCTTCAAATTGGTTTCGGATTAATACTATTGCTCTGTTCTATTGATTGGAATGCGTGAATTGTTAATTGGCAGAGCCATTTTGGTATTGTTAACATGCTGAGCTAGCATATGACTATTTAATTTCCTTTCTCATTTCTCAGGTCCTGGAAGAAACAACTGGTCACAGCAAAAGATGCTCGGCGATTGGATGTATTGTGTCATCGTATTTATCTCAGTCATAAGATCCTTGCCTCCACAGAGAAGTACTTGGTATTGCATGAGATTGTTGATACAGCATTGAAGAAACTAGAGGCTGAGGTCGGTCCTATCTCTGGAGCTCCAAATATGGGTCGAGGAATTGTCAGTCGACTTACTGTTGGTGCCGAAGTTCAGAAACTTTGTGCTCAAGCAATAGATGCTATGGAATCATTGTTCTCAGATGTATCTCCTGCTAGTTCAAGAATTCAGCGTATGTTTTGTACTCTTTATGTTTGACATTCACATATACAAATGGAATTGACTAATTGAACCATGTTTCCATTTTCAGGACCATCTATGATACCACCAAACTTTGTAAAGTTTGAAGCTATAACCCAAACATCTGTTGTGGTATTTTTGGATTTGGTTCACTGTCCTATGCTTGCCCAAGAGGCAACTTCGTTTAATGTCTGGCACCGAGTGGCTGTTACTGAATCGTACCTGTCAAATCCAAGTGGCATAATACTTGCGCCATCGAAAAAATTACATGTCACTGGGCTTGCACCAGCTACAAGCTATATCTTTAAGGTTATTGCTTTCAAGAATTCGATCGAGTTGGGATCATGGGAAATTAGAATGAAGACAAACTGTCAAAAGGATGATCCAAGGGGTTCAATGCCAGGTGGTACTGGACTAGGACAAAATAGTGAGAGCCCAAAGGCAAACAGTGATGGCCAGTCTGATCCTTCCTCAGAGGGTGTCGACTCAAACAATAATACTGCTGTTTATGCTGATCTAAACAAGTCCCCTGAAAGTGATTTTGAGTACTGTGAAAATCCTGAGATCCTAGATTCAGATAAAGCGTCTCATCACCCCAGTGAACGCATCAGATGACTTGCAAAATATGCAGATGGCTGCAGATAGGGTAACAGAAGTCACTGAGCTGGAAGAAGCGCCTGGGCTCTCAGCCTCAGCCTTGGATGAGGAACCCAATGCTTGTGTTCAAACAGTGCTTCTCAGGGAGTCAAACTCACTAGAACACAATCAAAGAGCTGTAGTTCCTAGATCACAGGATACATCTAGTGTACTGGCTGGAAATGAGTTGATGATTGTTGGACCTCGATATGCTGGTTCTGTGCCACCCATTGCAACAAGAGGTGTGGAAAACAGCAAGGAGAATGGTGGAAGGGGCTTCAAACCCAAACCTTGTGACAATGTTGTTCAAAATGGCTCTTCAAAGCCTGAAAGGGAACCGGGCAATTCGTCAAACAAAAGAACATCTGGTAAAATGGAGGACCTTGGCCACAAGGATAATTTCTCTGAAGTGTCATATGAGTACTGTGTAAAGGTGGTCAGGTGGCTGGAGTGTGAGGGCTATATTGAAACAAACTTCAGGGTGAAGTTTCTTACATGGTTTAGCTTGCGTGCCACCCCGCAAGAGAGAAAGATAGTTAGTGTCTATGTGGATACTCTTATTGAGGACCCTGTCAGTCTTTCTGGCCAGCTCGTTGACAGCTTCTCGGAGAGGATATATAGCAAAAAGCGGCCTTCCATGCCTTCTGCTTTCTGCATGGACCTGTGGCATTAAGGAACTGCAAGATCTTACCATTTGCTTTGTAGGGAGCATATTCGGTCCCATTCTTTCGTTGCAGATCATTGCATTGATTCTTCATTGGAAATTTCACTGAAGTATTTGACTTACACATCTTCATTGAAACTTTCCTTCGCAATGACAGTAGGTTATGTTATCGGCCAACTTTTTCCTTTTCCATTTTTTACATTTGCTCCATAATAGGTTACAGTGCTATCATCTGTATCGTCCATTTTAATCTTAGAGCATCAATAGGCTGCACTGTTCGGTCAGCTTGGGGCATCATGAATTTTGTGATGTATAGCTGCTCGATGAAGGATGTTGTCAGGCTGGATCAGGACTGCACCTGTGTCTGTGGGATGAAGCAGGCTTCGTATGGACGGTGACGAATCCGAGCTAACCATGTCTTGTCAGTAAAATGGTTGTGCTAGGATTGCATTTTCTTTCTGACTCTTGTTGGGAATGGGAGGGATGATGTTTAAGGTGCAGAATGTCTGCCTTAATTAATGTTATGTTGATGACTCATGCTTCTCTATCTACTGTTGCATTTGTTGGTTCGCTGTTCTGTTTGAGGGCCTCCGGTTTTGTGTTGCACCTGTTTGAATTCCATTCTAGTGCACTGACACTGTACATGGCCAATGTAGCTTGGCATTCATGATTAAATGAGTGCTTGCGGCTTGGTCTATGGACTATGGTGCTTTGAATCCTCCTTTTTCGCTTTTCAGCTCAACAAAGGCTAGGAAAAGAAATGGCGTCAATGGATGTCATTAGATGAGTTTGTTATTGTGATTGTTATACGTTAATTAGTATTATTCATGTTGTCGTGCACCATTCAACATCTCAAATCAAACAAGGTTCTTTATACTACTGGAAAAAAAAAACAAGGTTCAGGCATTGCATGCAACAGATGCAGTTAGCCGATTTTGTAGCCTTACACCAAGAGTCATTGGTAGGAATAGACATCTTAGTAAAAAAATTCTAACATTGTTTTTTCAACTGGATCTCTAAATATTCTTATGCTTTATTCCTTGTTTCACTCTCACCAAAGGTAGAGATCGGAGAAGGGTCGATATGGAGAGTGGTTTTCATTAGAATGACTTCTCAAATAATGATTTAGGGTTTTTATTAGAAATGACTTGTCACCATAGTTTGCAAAAGATATAGCATGGAGAAGTGTAGAGATACAGAGAACGATTTTTATTAAAATAACTTCTCACCAGTAGTTTGCAAAAGATATAGCATGGAGAAGTGTAGAGATATAGATAACGATTTTTATTAAAATAACTCATCGCAAGGGTTTAGTTTTTTTATTAGAACAACTCATAAGAATTTAGGCTTTTTATTAGACTCTTCGAAATAAGGATTTAGAGGGTGAGTTTAAAAAAACCCTCGCTGTTATCGTCTATATATAAACCATTCATCTCAGTTCAGAATACTAGTACAATCCATGCATCAAACATGGAAACGGAGATAAGAGTGCATTGGCTCTCAGTCGAAGCCGGTGCACGCGGCCGGCGCATGGGAGTTGGGAGGAGGGCTAGTGGATGACGAAGGACATGCACTATGGCACTGCTGCGAGCTGTCGAAGGCGATGAGGCGGACGTAGGCGTCCGGGTACTCCCGCCGGCACTCTCGCCCACCTCCCGGAGCACCTGCGCCGCCGTCCGTGCAGCCGAACATGGGCAGCTTCCACAGCGTCCAGTACCGGCCGTCGTAGTACCCCTCCGGTGGATCGTCGTCCCGGCCTGCACCTGCACGCATCGCACGCCATGCATGATCAGGTCGGTCTCATGCATGCATGGATCGATCTGGTGGTGGTGGTGGTCAAACAGATGATGAGACGGCCGGATATGGATAATTGGATACCTTGTCGAACTGAGGGCACCCATCCTCTGGCCAGGATGAAGTACACCTCCTTGGCGACGGACTCCTCCGTCAGCGGCGGCAGGTACGACAGCGCCTCGTGCCTCGTGTTGGTGAAAGGGTTCCAGTTCCAGGTCTGTCTTCAGTCACGTGCGAGCTCAGTGTCAGCTTGCAAGAACGCTCACGAGCAGATAGACACTACGATGGGTTTGATTAGGTTGGGTCACCTTCACCTTCACCTTCACGCAGCGTGTTCGGAAGCCGTTGGACGCGCTTGTCGTCCTCGCCCTGCAGGACGATGAGCCGGCTAGTAGCAGCCTCTGGCTCTGGGCGAGCTTTGACGGTGGGTCTGGATGCAGCAGGCAGGCGGCGCCGGCGACCGAGCTGCAGGCGGTGGCCGTGTTGACGAGCATGGTCGTCTTCACGGACGGAGAGAGGGTCGGATCGGAGGAGCTAGCTAGTGCGAGAATGAAGTAGGAGAGGACGAGAGGTGATGCTGATGCCACCTTTGGAGAAGAGCGGTGTTTCGTCCATTGGTCGAGGGACAAGACGGCGGAACCAGCAGAGCAATGGCTATCTCCCTCCCCTCGGTGTCACCGCCGACATGTCTCTTTCACCTCCCAACCCAACGGCGTTCAGCAGGGGCGGGCCACCAGCGGAAAATGTTTGAGCACCCACGGTTTTTGCCAATTGGAATCAGCAAAGCAACATTCTCCTTTTGGAAAAAAGAAAAGAAAATACATCGGTGTGGTAGGCAGGCTTTGTCACTAGTTTTTGGCTGTGTGCATTGTTTTTAGCAGATTGTTTGGAACCACACTGTGTTCAGTGAACGTAGTAGTTTACAAGGGGCATGCCATGTCCCACTCACAAGAAAGCACACCAAATACACATTTTCTGGGAAGCTTTAACATGATAATGTCAGGTAACTCCTTAGTAAAAATATCCATCGGATTTGTACACCACCACCAACGCAGAATCTGAGGCTCAATATGTCTTTTGCACATCTGGTGCTAGCTGATCATGGAGGGACAGCATTCTGTCATGGAGCGCAGTAGGATAGGATTGATACACATTACATTTGACTGGGTTACTACTTTTTAGTGTCAAAATGTCCGGTTAATTTTTTTGAAACGATTTTTTTTTTTGAAACGGAAAATGTCCGGTTAATGATCCCTTCGTTTCTGCATCATCATATGAGTGCAGCTATAACAGTACATATAGTCAACACTGACAAACCTCTCTCGCATAAAGAAATTTTAATACTGTACTTCCCATGATTATCAACTATCAAGTAGCAACTGGGAAGCAGGATATATATAGTCAACTGATGACTGTGTGCAGCTGTCTGGTCTGACAAACAGGAGACAGTAACAGGGGGCAAACCGCAAACCCCTCATGATTCCTCAAAACAACAAATTTGTTATTGATTTACAGGTTCATGGTTAATCTCAGCGTCACACATTACATTTCCAGAATATAATGGCCAGACATGCAAAGTCACCAAAAAAACTTCCAGGCTAAGTCGGTATATGTTTACAGAAGATTTATAGAACAACAGCAGATTCCAGTGTACGTGAGGCACATATAGACAGTTAGACAGACCTACTTCTGGTCCTCGTCATGTTTATATTGCAAACGATGCTCCTCCTTTCAATTTCCCGTCACTCAGAATGTCAACCAGGTCATTATCCAAACACAAATCCTGCAGTAAGCACAAACTTTAACATAGCGCCCCTGCAGATTAGATGATAGCATTATCTCGAGATTATCAGTAGGAGAAGTCACCTTGTCACTCGCTGAACGGTGATGAGCTTGATCCATGGAAGGAGGAAGTGAGGAAGAATATTCCGACGGCGAGACGAGCCGGTGCAGCCGGATCAGCTCGGGCATGACGACGGTCTCCAGGTCCGGCCGGTCCCTGCGCCGCATCTCGCAGCACTTGAGAGCGAGCTCAGCGAACGCCTGCGCCTCCTGCACGGGCCAGCCGGTCACTTTCCCGTCCAGGAGGTCGGAGAACGTGCCTTCCTCCAGCGCGTCGGAGACGGTGTACGCCAGCCCCATGGCCTCCCTGGCGGTGACCATCTGCAGGAAGATGACGCCCAGCGCGTACACGTCGGACTTGGTGCACACCAGCCCCGTCTTCTGGTACTCCGGGTCGATGTAGCAGAAGGTGCCCGCGGCCGCCGTCTCCCGGTACTGCGTCGTGGCCGCGGCGCCGTCCATGGACCGCGGGATGATGCGCGCCAGCCCGACGTCACCGATCTTGGTCACGAAGTTGCTGTCAAGCAGGATGTTGCCCGGCTTGAGGTCGCGGTGCACGAACGCCTCGGGCTTCATCTTGTGCAGGTACAGCAGGCCGCTCGCGATCTCCACGGCGATCCTGAACCGGAGCTGCCATGGCAGTGGTGGCGTGCCGGAGTGGCAGAACAGGCGGTCCTCCAGGCTACCGTTCGGCATGTACTCGTACACCAGGCACCCGTACTCCGGGCACGCCCCGACCAGGTGCACCATGTTCGGGTGACGAATGTTGTTCAGCAGCTCAACCTGATGAATGATGAAAGATTATTCATCACATTTTCTTCATAAATGTGAAACCAATCGTGTATGCAACAGGCATGTAATACCTATCATTCCTATCACAATGAATATAGAGAGTTAGAGACATCATTAAACAGCAAACAGGATATGCTTTTGTCAAACAAACTTACACAAAGGTCATATAGTTTGGACTTTGGAAATTAGGAATACTAGCGGCAAACAAGATATGTTTCGTCAGACAAAATTAGCTGTGAGCATATATATATACCTCCTGTTGAAACTGCTTGAGTCCCTGAGTTATATTAGAATAGAGGATCTTGATGGCCACAAGAGTGTTGTTAAGTGTGGCCTTGTAGACTGGTCCATAACCTCCTTCCCCAATCTTCAGCTCGTCAGCGAAATGATTAGTCGCGTTCGTGATATCGTCTGCGGTAAATGTTCTGCACTCGAGCCTAGTAGGCAGGCACTCGAGCATCCTTTTAGTCTCAATTGGCCTTGGCAAGGCTTTAAGCTTGAGGTCAAGCTTGCGAGTCTCTTCTGGAGTAGACCCGGTCCTGTTGTCATCTCTAGGCGAGCTAATCGGTGGCCAGCGTCTC